GGGAGGCAGAGGTTGCAGTGAGCTGAGATCGTGCTATTGCACTGCAGCCTGGGCAACAAGAGCAAAACTTCATCTCAAAAAAAAAGAAAAAAGAGAAAAGAAGAAAGAAGTCACAAAAAAACTCATAGTTTTAAGAGAACTGACGAATTTCTGTTGTGCCACATTCAAAGCTGTCCTGGGCCGAATGTGGGATGCAGGTTGGTAAAGCCTGGTCTAGAATATACTTTCCTCATCTACCTAGTGACTACCTGGTGAGTACCCAGTAACCTTTTGAGACGTCCAAGTCTGTTTAGCAGATTCCACCCCTGTGAAACTTCTCTTACCACCACAGCAGCTTACACTACCAGTGATAAGCCTCTCAGTGATAGTGCCCCTACTGTTATTTCTAATACAAACAACAATTTTAAAAAGCAACACATTTATTCATACTACAACTGAGATGCACAGTGGGCATATGCCATATTAAACTGAACTGGTTTTCTTCACATAACATCACATCTTTTGACTCACCGGAAAAAAATAGTTATGATATATTCCACTGGCTTTTTAAGTGGTACTCAGCATGTCTAAGAGAAAACATTCAGTCTCTGATTTTGAAGTCATCTGCCCACATTTTAGGCTTCTTTCCTAGATGGTTCTGGGTATAAGTTGTCATGGAATGAGTAATTTTCCTAATCTTGTCATGAAATAATCGGTTTTGGATACAGAGAACTTGTTTCCTCTGATCTCTGGGATAATGATCCTTGTCCAGCTTGTTGCTGATCTTTGCAGGTGAGAGCAATGGCTTGTGTAATTTGCAGTCTGGCTTCATGGTTTGGTCAGGGACCACCTTTGTACTTCTCTTAGGTTTACTAGGACTTCTCTTAGCTCTTGCTTATGTTGGAGGCTTGCTAGACTTTCAGACTCTGCAACATCTCTCTGGCTCTGAGAACCTGGCCATTTACCTAAACCTATGGAATGCATCATCCAGAGGGCACTTCAGTAGGCCCAGTGACTCTCAACTCAGTGTCTAGGTAATATAAGAACACTCAGGAGTGCAAACCAGAGTGTCTCCTCTCTCACCTGACCACTTCACTCAGGGCGACCTGTGTTGTCTGAGGTCTATGTACCTTCATGCTTTCCTCTACTGATGGTTTTAAGGGCATCCCTCTTACTACTCTTCCCTCCCTACTCTGCATATACCCTTTTAGTGTTTTCCCTCAAAGGAGAAGGAAAAGGAAACAACAACAACAAAGCAGGAAGCTTGATCTCAACTTGGTGCTTTCTTTGTTCCTGCAGGACAATAAAAATATTTTCCATTTGGCCGGGCATGGTGGCTCATGCCTGTAATCCCAGCACTTTGGGAGGCCAAGGTGGGTGGATCACGAGGTTAGGAGTTCGAGACCAGCCTGGCCAATATGGTGAAACCCCGTCTCTACTAAAAATACAAAAATTAGCCAGGCATGGTAATGGGTGCCTCTAGTCCCAGCTACTTAGGAGGCTTAGGTAGGAGAGTCGCTTGAACCCGGGAGGTGGAGGTTGCAGTGAGCCGAGATCGCACCGTTGCACTGCAGCCTGGGTGACAAGAGTGAAACTCCATCAAAAAAAAAAAAAATCGTTTTTATTTTGTTATTATTTTCTTCTTCACTCAATCTTATGGATAGGCCCTAATGATAAAATAGGGTATTTTCCTGGCTTTATTAAACAAGACCTGTGATAAGATCCAACAGGCTTAGTCTTAGAAATGTATATTGGTGGTTTGAACGTATTGTCTCATGTAAGCCATATAACTCCCCTGTGGCATAGGTGCTATCTTTTTTCCTGTTTTACAGAAGAGGAACCGAGGCTCCCAAAGGGTAATAACTATCCCATTGTTGACTTCAGGCACGTGGCAGGGCCTAACACTCCTTACATCTGTGTATATAGCGAGCCCTCCATATCCAAGGACTCCCCATTCATAGATTCAACCAATCATGGATAAAAAATACAGTTAGACCTATGATGGCTGCATCTGTACTGAACATTCACAGACTATTTTTTGTTCATTCCCTAAACAATAAAATATAGCAACTATTTGCATAGCACTCACATTCTGTGACTTATAATAAGTAATCTAGAGATTATTTAAAGTATGTCTATAAGGATATGCATAGGTTATATGTAAATATGACATCATTTTATAACAGAGACTTGAGCATCCATGGATTTGGTATTTGGGGGGGTTCCAGAACCAATCCCCTGTGGATATTGAGTGACAACTGGATTACTATTCTAAAAGCCTGCTAAATACAAGGCATCTTAAAGTCTTTCATCATTATCTGTGAT